ATGAAGGAAAACAATAGTATTTGTTGATAATGTTAAAACTCAAGCTTTCAGAGTTAGAAATTTGCAAAACTTTTGTCTGCCCCAGTAAGCTTGGTAGCTTCCCTGTGTGTAGATTGAGATCATTGCCATTATTAATGTGATTTTTGATGGTATGTTATGTATTTAGAATTCAAAGTTCTGCAAATGACCAGTGAATATCCCATGTGTAAAATATAGCATTGGTAAAAGATTTACTGAAAGATCAATTTAGATTAAAGGGTTTTAATGTCACAAGAATATTTATTGATAATGAATTAGATTCTACATTGCAACCTTAAAGAAATAATTGAACCACTTATGAGTCCTGGTGTGATACTGCAGAAAAAAAATACAAAAGGCTGTTAAAATACTTCCTTTTCCTAATATATATCTGTTTAAGATTAGATTTTCTTGTGTTTACTTTTGCTAAAACAACTGATCTTATGAAGAAGTGGATATGAGAATCTAATCTAAGACCAGATGTCAGAGATAAACAATGTCGAATAATGCCACTTCTATAAAAGCTTTTTGGGTTCCTTAGTTTTAACAGTGAAAGGGATCCTGAAACCAAAAGCTTAAGATTTCCTGGCTAAGATGTATTTTGCTATATTTTTCTAATAAGATTCTTTTGGGGGTCTCCCTGGTGGCACAAGGGGTTAAGCACCACACTATGAAGCAATCCCCAGTCTCTGCAGCACGAGTTCAATCCCCATCCCGCCAGGGAGAAACCCACAGGGCGAGCAGCTGTTTTACCTGCTGCTTCCCTCAGCAGTGTGTTTCAGTCAGTCTGCCTGTTCTGTTCCCTACTCTGTCTCTGGTGGATCCTCTCATCCCCTGCATCTCTGGCCTGTATCCCAGCTCTTGTATGCATAAATAAATAAATCTTTTAAAAAAAGATTTCTTTTGGGTTAGTTTGGTTATTTTATATTATTTATTTTTAAATATTTTTATTTATGCATACAAGAACTGGAGTGTAGGCAAAGAGATATGGGGAGCGGGGTTGACAGGATTCACGAGGGACAGAATGGGGAGCAGAACAGGGGGATTTACTGAAATACACTGCTGAGGGGAGCAGCAGGTGAGACAGGAGAGGTCTGCTGCACCACATGTGCTAGCTCTCTGGCCAGGGATCCAGTTCTTGCCACAGTGGCTGGTGATAGCTTGATAGTGCTGAGACCTTAACCCCTGCACCACTAGGGAGGCCCTAGTTAAGTTATTTTAATCTTTCAACCCTTGCTCTGTCTATGTGTACTGTATTGTTTGTGAATACTAAAAAGGGACACCAAATCATTATGAGCAGTAATTAAATTTAAAAGATACATAGGGCCTCCCTGGTGGCGCAGGCGCTTGAGCACCGTGCTATGAAGATGTCCACAGCCTCTGCAGTGCCTGTTCGATCCCTGCCGGCAGCGGAGATGCCCACATGGTGAGGCAAACCTCTCCTGTCTCGCCCACTGCTCCCCTCAGCAGTGTGTTTCGTCAGTCTGCCTGTTCTGTTCCCTGCTCTGTCTCTGGTGAATCCTCTCACCCTCCCGCACATCTGGCCTGTACCCCAGTTCTTGTATAAATAAATAAATCTTAAAAAAAATAAAAGATACATAAACTTTCCAGTCTAGGATGTAATGCCTACAGATCAGATAGCTTTCGTTTCATCTTTTCTTGAATGTTTTCTAAGGTTGTCTGTCTGGAAATATATCCGGTCATAAAATATGTAAATTAAGCAAGTAATAACCTACATGTTTTTGTACCACCTTTTTTTTTTAGAACCCCCCTCTCTCCCTCCACTTGTGGGACTGTAACTCCCTGATCTTCAGACTCCCTATCTGTCAGACCCACAGTTGTTGGCCAGGAAGTAATTGTTTATATTGTAGGTCACTCTCAGTGGACTTGTATTGATAGATACTGTTTGTACTGCCTTTTCTATTGAAATGCTGGATCATGTCGACTTAATTTGTGATTTTGTATTTGGCCATGTGAGTGTCATATTCTAACTCAAATTTCATGTTGGATTTTACTCTTTTTTTTTTTTTAAGAGGCATGTATTTTTATTTATTTATTTATTTATTTTAAAGATTTATTTATTTATACAAGCACTGGGTATAGTCAGAAGCGCAGAAGGGTGAGAGAATTCACCAGAGCCAGAGCGGGGAGCATAGCAGGCAGAAGGACCGAAGTACACTGCTGAGGGAGCAGCGGGCGGCAGGAGAGGTCTGCGCGCCATGTGGGACCCTCCACTGGTGGCCGGGGAGCAGCCAGGAATCGAACCGGCGCTGCAGAGGCTGCGGGCAGCTTTGCAACCCAGTGCTCAACCGCTGCGCCACCGGGGAGGCCCTGGATTTTACTCTTAACTTGTACTACCTCTAACTTTTTTTTTCCCCCCAAGGTCATTAAACTTCTTATTAATGTAGAACTCACATTTCACAAAGCAGTGCTTTTAATTTTTTGAAGTGTGTTAATGATTGCTAAAACATTTTATATAATTTTGCTAAAACATTTTATAAATGTTGAAACAAAACTCTCATCTCTTTATTGTTCTATACAGCAATGATTTTCAAAACTAACTTAATCAAGATACTAGAAATGATTGGAGAAGGAGTTCCACTTTTGTTGAATAGCTACTGTTAGTAGCATGTTTCAGTATTTTAGCGGCTTGTTATGGTGATAACTGTATCATGAATTTTTATGGATGATGGGACAGAGGTAGAAACAAAACAAAACAAAAAAATGTATATAGCTCAAGGTTACAGTAGATTAAAATTCATCTGATTATCTGCAAAGCTCTTGCTTTTTTTCCACCATCTGAGGTTGCCGCTATAAAAATTTGAGTACTAATAATATTGACAGTTTTACACAATGTGTTTTCTACCATTGTTTTGTGAACAGCTAGCTAAGGGACCGATCAGACTTGCATACTCTTGCATCTCCAACATGTATTTATCTTTAATTCACAATTTTTATTGTACACTTCCCTAGTTCAAAAAGAAGGTGGGGCAGGGAAAAGGCCAGATGTATTTGAAGCCAGATGACTTTAAGTTCCTTCCTTGGTTTTACTAGCTGTGTCATCTTGTTTTGAGTTTGAACCTTCCTGGTTCCCCAATCAGCAAAGCAGAGTTAATAATAGGAGGTTTTTGCCAGTGTAATTTGGCAATAGGAAACATCCTATCAATGCAAAATCTTTTTAAAGCAGAAGCTTGTATCCTGAGGGCTTCATTACTTAGAAATGTTTATTAGTACTCCTGTATCTGTCTGTCACATAAAAATTATATAAAATATCATTGCTGTTGTTCTCACCACTTGACTTCTGGGACTGCCTTTTGACACTGTTTTTTTATTAGGTAGAGTCAGAAAATTGTTGGTATTTGACTTTGTTATCTATAAAAATGGCTATGTCAAATGCTGATACATTTAATAGTTGTTAGTAAACTTATACATGAATGGTTAAAAAATAATAAAAAAAACTATATAGTTATATCAAAGAGCATAGAGCAAACAAATTAGTAAGCCTAGGTCTTGGTAATGGTTTCCTGGGTATTCTTTCTCAGGCTATCTTGGTGACACATGTTAATCTTGAGCAGCCAGTGAAATGTTTTGTGTTGAAGTCCTTAGGCCAAGAAGCTGGTATAAAGAGTTGACTAGAATGTGAAAATGAGTGCTAGTCTACTAATTTTATTGATGTTAAGTGTGAGATCTATCTATATGTCTATATTTTAAATGCTTTGTGTCTATATTGATAGATAATTTTTTTCTGTGAATGCTGCCTTTCAGTGGGGGAAAACCGGCAAGAAAGTTGGTCAGTACAAATATGATTGTATTACAGCAAAGACTTTAAGAGGTAGAAGTTTCTCCATTTAGAGCCATTTGTTAGCAAGAGTCATGCTTTAAAAAGACTATTTTCTGATATAAAACCTTTTGTTTTGGCAGCAGAGGTGCAGGTGATTGTGGTTGGTAATTTATCTCTAAATATCTGCCTTCCTGCAGCAGCAGTGTTCTTATAATTGCTCCAGAAAACGGGCTCTTAATTATTTTTTCTTTTTTGCCTGGGAAATAAGCAGCAGTAGGTGTTAAGCACAAAAAATTTTAAAATTATCTTTTAGTTTATTTTATGGAATTTATTACAAATTTTCTAGAAAAACAAACAATATAATAAGTTCCACCAGTTTGCTTTGTCCTTGCCATAAACAAATGCAGACAAAACATAGTATGAAAGCTTGGTATTTAAATGTTTGTTGAATCTCATGGGAAGATATCTAGTAGTAAAGAATTGAGGACATAATAAAAAAAAATCTAAGATGTAAATGAAAAATAGCAACTATGAAATTTTGTTAATTCCTGGGTTTTTTTTTTCTTTGAAAGTCTATTTTGACTCAGTGTTAAATCCACACCAATGGATTAATGGAAATGTGACACTTCAAAGAGACTTTAAAGACTTCTTTACACAAAGTATTTTTTCTTTAGTGTCACTTTTTGTGGGCTGTTGCTTTTTGTGCTCTTAAACCAAATCTCTTTATCCTTTTTCTTTCTCTAGCATATAGATTCTTTATTGGAGGAGAACCTCCGAGGATTGAGTAGTAACCCATCTATTCTGGTGTTCTTTACAATAGCCAAACAAAATTTAACTCACTATCCATGTATACGCGTACACTACACAACACATACACTATACAGGTACGCTATACACAACACTGGTGTATGTTTTATAACCAATAGTTCTACAAATTTTGAAAACAGCAATTTTCTAATGCCTAATGAATGAGCCTATAGAATAAAATCATGTTTTATCCAACTTAATAAAGAACATTTACAGGGAAAAGTTAATTGGACTTTGTTTAGTCCTGTAACTTGAAAAAGGCAAATCTCACTCCTCAATACATCCATTAAAAAAAAGAATATAGGACATCAAGGGCACAAAAATTTGTTTTACACACTGACATTACAAATTTCCTTTAACATATACTCAGCATTACATAAACTTTCTTACTTACCAATTTTCCAGGCTGTTTTGGTCTCTGTAGGCAAGAGTGGGTCAGCAACTGAGTGTAACATCTGATGTTGAGGGAAATATACTTTGCTTTCTGCCTAGTGTTGACCAATGGGAAATGCTACTTCAGCTCTAAAATCAAAACATTTAAAGTGCTCTATGAAACGTTGACATCTTGCCAAAAGCTTGAATGTCAAGTCCTGCAGATGTCTAGTCCTCTTTAGAGCCTGCTATGCAGTTGTGTAAGCTAGATCTGATTTGTGTTTAGGTTTACAGTCGATCAAGACCTGACTAAACAGTAAAAAGTGTAAGAGTGGGCATGGAAAGGAACCAAACAGTTGAATGCTCCAGCCAGCCAGAGGATAGAGCTTTCCCATGCCTAGCTATGACCTCTTCCTGTGAAATGGTGGTAAGAATAGCATCTGTATTTATTGGAAGTATTTTCAAGTTGTGATTCACATGGCTTTAACTAACTCCTTGAAGGTTGTTGAAAACCTAAAAAATATTTGAAAGTGAAACAGACCAGAACATTTCCTACTTGTAGTACAAAGGAAGAAATGGGGCAGTTTCACAAGTATGTCTTGATATGAGAGTCTTGATCAGCAAAAGACATGTTAACTATCAAAAAAGAGAGATTAAAGGCTAATTTCTTTGGAAGTGGGTGATTTACCTCTCTAACCATACACTGTTCAAGGGGTATACTGTTTCCGGATGGTGCTTCGTCTGCTCTGTTATACTGATACAGTTCTATCCTTGATCTGGTGCTATTAGTCTCTAAGCATTGTACAGGTTGGCCCTCTGCTTGAATCTGGTTTATTTGACCTCAATTTCTGGGTATTTTCTTATTTAACAGATTGTTGCCAGGACTCTTTACTCTTATGTAGTATTCTGGATAAATCACTGTACATCTTTCAGGGGAAGAGTCCACGTATTCTGTACTCTGTCTGCTTTGAACTGATCTAGTTTTGACATATATCACCAATTTTACTCATTTTTCCAGTTTCTTTCCCTTTCTTTTATGGTAGGATGCACATTGTCTATCAGTCATGCTTATTATCATTATCAACAAAATAAAAGAAGACAAAACTCTCTGTTGACCTAAATCTCTTTTCTTAGGTACTACTGTCTATTGAAGTCATGCTGAAAATGGTTAAATGCTTCTTTACTCACCTGCCATATCCAATCACCAAAAACTAATGATTTTTTTCTAAGATCTAAATATTTCTCATCTGTGATTCCCAGTATTCCTTGCCTGTATTCCTTGCCTCCAGCCTATTCTCTACCCACAGTATCTGCCCTCCAGTCACCCAAGAGAGGGATTCTTCTGAAATACAAGCATAGCCATGTCTTTTTGTGGATTCCTCTCACCTATAAGTAAACATGTGCTGTTTAATCTGGTAGACCCAGTGCTCTGTGGTTTGATATGCCTCATCTTCTGTCACTACTTGTCTTGTAGTTTATAACAACATTGACCTATTTTAATTTTCTGTAAGTATCCATGGTTCTTACCTTCTTGCTTGGGTGTATACCATTCTCTCTGCCTGGAATAATTCTCTTCTCCTTTCACTTGAGTTAGCCTGAATTTGAACTGTGTCATTCTTGTATTTGCTTCTTAATTTTTAATATATCCACATAGCATCTCCTCTGTTTGATTTTTGTTTACAGAGTCACCTTAAATATTATTTGTTTATCTTAACCCTAATCCTAAGCAAAAATATCATTGAAATCATAGATTGTGTGTGCTTTTTTAAAAATATATTGACATAATTATGTTCCTGATCTCCAGTAAGCTTCTCTGTTAGCAAAAAATATTATCAAAATCCTTCCATCCCTTCTTTCTTACCACTATCAGTTCATCTAACCAACCAGCTAGTACTTGTTCATTACCTTCTCTATGCTGGCTGTCACAGGGCTCTGGATTGTAGCCATGAGTGCTTAACCTATGTTCTTGAACTATCTGCCTGTCATTCCTCTCAGCCAGATTGTGATTATTTGAAGGGCTACAAAATTTGCCAATGTCGTATCTTTAGCACTTACTAATTTAATTCTGGGAATTCCAGGAATACACAATAAAGATGTTTGATTTCTGAATTTTTTCTTTATTCCAAGATTTACTTACAATACTTGGTATGTTTCATAAATAATATTTTTAAACATTAAGGCCAGAGTAAAAGTTAATATGCTCACTTTTATGTTGAAGGCTTGGGTGATCCATGATAAAGAAAAATAAACTTTTATTAATATTTATTTTGATATGCCTGGATAGGGTTTTGTAATCCAGTAGCTACTAGAACAAATACGCAATGAATTATGTATATTTAAACCCAAAGCCAGTACTTGATATTGTGTTGATCAAACTTGGTGCAGAATTTTTTGGCTTAAATAATTAGATTTTAAAAGGAGCAAGTACTGCATGGGAATGTCGAAGGAAAAACAGAAACCTTTTACTATAGGAATTTGTTTATTAATAGAGGTGAGCCAAAGGGAAAACTGAAAGTACTTGAGACCTATATCTCTAAGTCTTACAAGTTCAACACTGTTGGGAAATTGTAAGAAAAAAAGTATGGACAGAATTCACTAGCACAAAACTATGTATTTGGGGAAACCTTAAATTCTAGGGAAACCTGGGGCATAATGGGAACCCTGAATAATGAGATGAATATCAATGTCTGGGAAATAAGAGCAAAATAGGCCAGTTAAAATTGGAGGATGTATTCCTATACTAGTTAATTTATGAGGGCACATTTCTTTTTATTGTATTTAAATTGGTCATGTGTGCTGTTCACACTGTGCCAGAGATCATTGCACTAGCTCGACTGGGGACTCCTACCCTCCCCACACTCTGCAGGTTGATGTGGGGCATGAGTTTTGCAAGTTTTGTAAAATTCTTTGAGTTTTTAAAGCATATAAATGCAAGACTGATAAAAAATTTAAATTAGTTTAGTTTGAATTACCAATAATAAAAAAAAAGAGGCTGCAGAAAAATCTTCTGTCCTCCAGCCCTGCCTCCAGCAGTCAGGTGACTCCTTAAATAACAGCCTGGAGTCTCAGCCAGAATAACCTCTCCCCAAAAGGAGAGACAAGAGCACACGAGTTCAACAGGTGGAAATAGAAGAGAGGGCCCATTCTAAGTTGAGGATACAGTCTAACAAAGGCAGGAGTTGAGAGAATTGATGGTGTGTTTGGAAATAGGACAGAGTCTAAGCCACATCACAGCGCACATACCTCATGCTGCACCTGTTGGCTGGAAGGCAGGTGATTTTTTTTGCAGCCTCTGTCACCCCTTATTGCCAGATTGTCTGGCTGGTTTCCTGGACTTGGCACATTATGCTTGTGCTTGCAGTCCATGCACACCCAGCCTCATTAGACTCAGCTCATTGAGAAAGGAGGATCCTTCAGATACATGAAAGTGTTTTTAATCAGTGAAGACTTCCACTGTTTGCTTCTTTATTTTTCTAGCCCCAGAAATTTGGGCATCTTTTTACTTTATTTTTTTATTGGTAATTTAAATTAAACTAATTTAATTTTAACAAATTCTCACATTTATGTACTTCAAAAAGTTAAAGAATTTTATAAAATTTATAATGGAGTCCAGCAGTCTCTGTCCTTCTCCTATGCCCTTGTGGGTATCTCTTTCATTTTAGCTATTATTTTTAGGTATCAATATCATTTCAATATTATTGGAGGCAAACCTCATTTCATCATGTTCCTAGTAATATGTGAAAGTATAAGCTTAAGGTGCTTTTTCCAACAGCTGTGTTTAGTGAAATAGGAAAAGCCCAGATACATGTTTATAACTTGTGCAGTATCCATGCTTCTTAGCTTAATTGCTCAATAGGCAGAGGAAATGTGTGTTGAAAAAACTTTATTAATAACTTTCTGCTATATTTCACTGGAGCAGCAGTGAGGTCATCAGTTTTAGGAATTTTGCTTTTGGTGGCTTGAAATTATTGCTGTCTTGGAAAAGTTACTTCCAAACTGTTTTTTACTCTTCTAGTTGAAACTGAACTGTTACCTAAAGTCTAGATCGAGTTCTGATACTTGATTTTACTGTTCTCTTTTGTAGTTTTCCCAGAATCTTTATATTATACTGGATAAGCAAGGTTCTTTATTCTTTTAAAATATAGACAATCACTTAGAAGATAAAAGCTTCTGAGCAAGCTGGGATTGACTTATGGAGTTGATGAGACTGCCCAGGCCCAAATTTATGTAAGACTATGTAATCCAAGAACAGACCTAGTAGCCAAATAACTGAGGGTCACGGGGAGGAAGACAATCAATCTCAATTTTTTGATAAAATACTATTTGGGGGGGTTAATACATTTTGGTGGTACCCTCAAGTGTGACACAGAATGATTTAAGTATCTACATAGTTCAGAAGGGAATGAAGTGTTTAGAGAATGAGCTTCCAGTGCAGAAACTCCACACAGCTTAAGCAAAAGGTCAAGCTTCTGCTCAGCACAGAAGATGCAAGGTGTTAACACCCATAGCAGTGACTGAGCACCTGAGACGTTGTAACTGATCACAGTCCCTTTCCTGCAGCTTTCCAGTCCTTTCTTAGGGATTTCAAATCTATCAGAACTGATATGCAGCCTCTGCCCATCTTTGTCTAAAGTTCCATCCAGGACACAGTGAAAAAATTATAACAAACTTATAAACTCTATCATTGAGGTAGAATCAGAATTAGTATGCAATTCTTTGGAGTTAATCCAATATAATGTATGTAGAGTTAAATTTTTATCAGCCAGGGGCCTTGGGATAGTTATGTAATGTCTCCAATTTTCTATTTCCTCATCTGTAGAATGAATATAGACTCAGCTGCCCTATTAAAGTTGCTGGAAAGTTTAAATGAAATCATGTGTATTTTCTTAACTGTAGTGCCTACTTAAAGTAGGTAATTAGCAGTAACTGGTAGAGGTTTTTACTAATATGATTATAGGCTGATTGTTTACTTGTGATTTCTTGAAATTGTATTGTTTTTAAATATATTGTAGCTATAAATGGAATGGTATGTTTTGCAGGGTTTTTTTTTTTTTTTAAGATTTATTTATTTATGCACCCAAGAACCTGGATATAGGCCAGAGGTGCAAAGTATGAGAAGATTCATCAGAGACAGAGTAGGGAGAAGAAGA